TGAGGTGTGCCTAACCCAAGCCATGGTGTTTTCAATAGCCTCATAAGCATGTGAAAGCTGGACAATGAATAAGGAAGACTGAAGAAGAGATGATACTTTTGAGTTGTGGTGTTGGCGAAGAATGCTGAGAGTACGGTGGTCTGCTGAAAAATCTAACAAATCTGTCCTGGAAGAAGTGCAGCCAGAATGCTCCTTGGAAGCGAGAATGGCCAGACTTTGTCTCACCTACTTCGGTCACCTTGTCAGATGGGACCATTCCCTGGAGAAGGATGTCATGCTTGGTAAAGTGGAGCGTCAGCCAAAAATGGAAAGGCACTCAAGGAGATTGATTGACACAGTGGCTGCAATGTCGGGCTCAGGTATAGCAAGGAGTGTTGGCACAGGCCGGGGCAGTGTTTCGTTCTGCTGTAATAGGGTTGCTATATGAGTCGGAACCTACTCGCCGGCACCTAACAACCACCACCACCATGATGTGTGATTGTGAGGATGGTGCAGGACCAGGCAGTGTTGTGTTCTGTTGTAATTGCAGTCGCTACGAGTTGGAACCAGCTCCACAGCACCTAGCAACAATCGCAACCACCACCACCACCATGACATGTGAAAGGTTCCAAATGGTTGAGTTAGAGGTCTTGTTGAGATACCTGTGGGACACTGCACAGCCAGAAGAAAGACTGACACGAGTTAATCATTACTGAAGTTTCATGATTAGCACACGCGGGCACATTGCACTCTTTTTTACTTTTGCATATTTGAAATTTCATATAATAAAAAGTTTTCGACAAATGAGGACGCTACTTAAGTATGAATATAGAAACTTGAATAAGATACATTACTAAAGGTGCAAAATGCAAGGCACAGTGTCTAACATGCTATCATTTGTGTAAAATAAGGGAAGAGCAAAAGGTATTCATATCTGTATTATTTGCCTGTACGTGAAAAGACGTTTTTGGAAGGATTTGGAGAAGTTAGAGAGGAGACTTGAGTGGCTAGGGTTGGGTGTAGGGGTTAGGGGCACATCATAGGTGCAGGGGTGCGTGGGAGGCTGGAGGCGACTGTGAGTTCCGGGACAGCCGTGGCGGCCTCTGAGTCCAGTACGCAAGGGTTAGCAGTGTAAGAGGTTCTTCTGGTGAGAAGGGCGAAGGATGGAGGAGGATGATACGGCGTGGGAGTTGGCCAGTTCGAGGACAGCTTTGGGTGGGGGTGGCTTTCAGGTCGCATCCCCACACCGCCGCCAGGGGGCAGTCAAGCCTGCTCCCGAAAGCGGGCGAGCTGGAGCACCCAGGGCAGGCCCGGTCTCCACCGCCCCCCACCCCCGCTCGTTGGGGTGCCCCGCCCCTGCAATCTTTGACCGCGTTCCCAACCCCTCCCTGACCTCCAGTCTCAGCCACATTGAACTCCGTGAGCAGCACCAACTCCCTCCTGTGAGGAGCCAGCGGGACAGCCGCGTCATCCCCACCTCTCCAGCCTCCCTCACCTCCAGAATTCAGTCCTCCCTGAAACCCTGTTGGGATATCTTGTTCAATCTTGATCACAATCGGGCGAGATAGGGGCTATTATATATCCATTTTATAGAGGGAAAAGTGGCGCACAAGGAAGTTAGGTAACTTGCTTAAGGTCACAAGACCAGGAATGGTGACCCAGGATCCACACTTGTCCTGGTCACTCTCAGAACTAGCCCTTGGAGCAAACCGTAGCCTCCTCCCAGTTTCTATTCTGCTCCTCCTCCAGAACCTTCTCTACACAGCCGCTAGAGGGAGCTCTGGGAGCTCCCATGAGGCAAATTCCTCCCTCGCTTAAAACCTTTCTCTGGCTCTTCCGCCCTCAGAATCAAGTTCAGTCCCATCACCGCACCTGCCTCTCTGGCATCACCTTGACCCAGGAACCTCTCCTCTCAGCTCCAGACACACCAGTTTTCCTTCAATGGGAAGAAACCGCCTTGTTCCCCTCCTGCCTGGAGACTTTGCACTCATTGCTCATTTGCCAGGCGGGAGCCTCCTGCCTGCCTTCTTTTAGTTAACTCTATGCCCCCTTCAGGGCCGACTCGATGACAAATAACAACAACAACAACATGCCCCCTTTAAAGAGCTCTGGCAGCATAGAGCCTAAGGCACTTGACTGCTAACCAGAAGGCTGGCGGTTCAAACCCACCAGCCACTCCTCGGAAGGAAGATGGGGCAATCTACTTCTGTAGTGTACTGCCCTGGCAACGCAAGGAGTGGTCACTATGAGTCGGGGCCGACTTGACGGCATGTAACAACAACAACAAAAATTTATAGCATTGGAAACCCAGTGAGGGTTTATTTAATTTATGAGTTGGAATTGACTCAATGGGGGGTTTTTTTTTTTTTTTTTTTTTAATGCCCCCTTTAGGGTGCTGGGGTGATGCAGTGGTTAAAGCATTTGGCTGCTAATTAAAATGTCAAAAGTTTGAACCCATCAGCCGCTCCACAGAAGATGAGGCAGCCTTGGAAACCCTATGGAGTTCTATTCTGTCCTATAGGATCACTATGAGTTGAAATTGACTCAATGGCAGTGGGTTATGCCCCCTTCAAGCCCTGGCTCTCATGTCACTTCCTCCAGAGGGCCCGCCCTGACTCAACTCCCAGGCAAGGTCAAGTCCCCTATTAAATGCTGCCAGAGCACCATGCCTCTTGGGTAAAATTGGCTTCCGACCTACACTTCATTTTCTTTGTAATCGTAATGGCATAATAGTCCATAACCTCTTAGTATCTTTTCGTTCTTCTTTTCTAGACCAAACCCAAACGCACTGCCTTTGAGTTGATCCTGACTCCTAGCAACTCCCATTCGGTTTCCAAAGCAGTAAGTCTTTACAGAAGTAGACTGCCCCATCTTCCTTCTGTGGAATGGCTTGTGGATATGAACCACCAACCTACTGGTTAGCAGTCAAATTCCTTAGGCATTGCACCACCATCTCTAATCCATCAGCAAATCCTACAGGACCTGCCTGAAAATGTTACCTCGACTCTGACCCTTTCTGACCCCCTTTCCCACTAAGGCCTTCATTTCTTGCTAGAAACTGGAACGGCTTCCTCATGGTCGTCCTGTTTCCGCCTGTGGCCCACAACAGCCCGAGGAGTCACTGTTATTTGTCTGTCTCCCCTAGAGTGGAAGCTCTGTGGCCTGTTCCCTGCAGAATGCCCCGTGCCTGGGACTGGCTGTGCACAGCAGGGCTCAGGAAGCACGTGCTGAGCGGCTGATGGGAATTTCTTCTAATAGAATGTCTGCTCCCAAGGACTGTGTGTGCCATTCACACTGCAGCCCAAGTGCCCAGCACAGTGCCTGCCACACACAGATGCTCAATAAAAACCCTATCATTGTACCAAACCCAAACCAAGTCCACTGGAGTTGTTGAGTCAATTCCATCACATGGTGACCTCATGTGTTAAGAGTAGAATCAACTTCCAAAGGATTTTCCTGGGTACCACTTCTACAGAAAGCAGCTCACTAGGCCTTCCTTCTGTAGTGCTGATGGGTGGGCTTGAACTGCCAACCTTTGAGTTAGCATCAAACACAGACTGTCTGCACCACCCCAGAACCTCTGTCAATGTGCAGGTGGAGAAACACAGGCTGGAGTGGGGGGGGTGGGGGGGAGGCAAGGAGCAAGGCTGTCTGAGGTTTTGCCCTGAGGGTGGCAGAGCCAACCGTGGGACCCAGCTCCCCCATAGCTTCTCTGCCAGCCAAGCAGCCCCTCCCTTCCCAGAGTACACAGAGACCAGGCCTCTTTGTCACTGGTTTAACACAGTTTATTACTGAACTGCACTTTCACCTTCACACAGACTATTTCAAAGAGCTGGAACAAGTGGGGGGCAGGGGATGAAGGGAGGGACAGGTGCCCCTCAGGAGCCAGGACCCCTGGCGGGCTTCCCTGGACCAGGGCAGGGGAGGGAGCGTCAGGCCGTCCGATCTCTGGGCACCAGCTCTCCACGTGCACACGCACAGCAAGCCAGCAGCTCCTCACACATAAATACAGACACGCTTAACAAAAATAGTATTATCATCTTCACAAGGAATAAAAACTAGTCTCGAGTATGTACAGCAGAGAGCCCGGGGTGGCCGGGACCCCCAGGGATGAGACAGGCCATGGGTGAAGCAGAGGAGAGAGAGGGAGGTCTGAAGGGCTCTTGGCCAGGCCACTCTGGCCTCGGCAGCCCGGCTGCCCAGACTGAGTGTGGGTGGGGTGTGGATCTGCCCGGCCAGGCAGGACTGGGCCTTCCAGCCCCCTCCACCCCGTGCAACAGCTCTGCTTCCTGTTCCTCCTGCCTGAGGTAGGGAAGACCCTAGGGTTCACACAGCTGCTCCCATAGCTCTTCCTCACCTCTGGGCTGAGGCCCCTGAGCCCCTGGACCCCACGGGCATTGGTACAAGGCAAGGATGCTGCAGGCTGATCTCCCTGTGGGAAGAGAGGCAGCCGAGGCCTTCCGCAGCTCTGGGGCACCTGTCTCGGGTCCAGTTGGTCCCTCAGTCATGGTCATGGGAGCCAGGGGAGAAGGGACCGGGGGTGGTGCTAAACTGCAAGGGCTACCCTTGCACTGGCACGGGGTGCTTCCTGTCGTGACGGCAGCCCCCACCCCGTGTAGGCCGGGCCTCTAGTCGAGGTCTGTGGAGGACCTTGGATGGGGGTGGGGGCTATGGCCAGGCCAGAGGTGGGGAGGGGGTCCTGGTCTTTGCCTCTTTATCTCAAGTAGCCCAAATCCCTAATTAGCCAAAAGTGGCCCCTAAGTGGCTCTAGGGGATGGAGATGGAAGGAAGGGAAGCCCAGGTCCAGGAGGGAACGGGAAATGATCAATCCGAGGCCACAAACATCAAAACAAAGGCAATCTAGTCTCTTTCTGGGGAAGAGGTTCAGAAAACTTTCCAGCTCCTTGGCAGACAGCACTCTTGGGAGGCTAAGGGGTAAGGGTCCCACAAATCAGGCAGGGCCCTCTTGTCCCCAGCCACAACACCCCCATACACTGCCAGCTTCTACGGAGAAGCTTGGATTCTGAGGCCAGGAAAACTGAGGTGTGGGGGAAGGTGACTCTCACAGAAGCGTGGCAGATTCTAGAAGACTAACTGCGGGGTACCAGGTCGAAGCCCAGCGCTGTGGTGGGTAGGTGGGCAGGCACGGGCTGCATGTAGTGGTTCTCCTGGTGGCAATGGTGATCGAATGGAGGGATGTGGGGGCAGGATGGTGAGTGGTGGTCAGTGTCTGGTCATTTCCGACTGAAGAGCGAGCCCAGCAGAACCACACCAGCCACAGTCATGCCCGTCAGGAACCAGCGGTTGAAGCGCTCCTGGCCTTTACGGCTCTCAGCTGCTGCGTTGTTCCCATAGAGTTCCACGAAAGTGTCCTACAAGAAGAGAAAAGTGAGGTTTGAGTCCTCAGACGGGAAAGTGGGGGCCAGAGGAAGAAACAGCATCACGTGCATGGAATGGCCTTCATGATTTGGACGACTTTTGTCAACAGTCCCCACTCTGGGGCAGATAAAGGGTTATGGGATACCCTCTTTCTTGACCCACACTTGGGGATGGCCAACCCATTTTATTGCTGAGAAAACAGGGGGAGAGAGGGAAGAGCCTTGTCCAAGGTCAGACAGCTGGAAGTAGCTCACTCACTCTAGAACCCCAGGTGGGGGAGATGGGCAGGTTCAGGAACTGACAGGAGGCAGGGTGGATGACAGAGTACAGGGAGGAGAGGATGCTGGGAGATGGAGGTGCAGACATAACCCCTGCCTAGAAACCACAGGAAAAGCTTGGAGTTGAGTTTGAGGGTACTGAGGGGCCCCTGGGCCCAGCCTTCCCATTGCTGAGAATGAGAAGGCAAGGGAAAGAACAGGGCTAAATCCCAGAGGGGGTCAGGATGGTGGGGACACTCAAGCCTGAGGCTCCTTCTCTCTCTGCAGGGAGCTTTGGAGGGGTGGAGTGATGGGTGGAGGCTCAGGGCAGAGTACAGGAAGACAGCGATGAAGGGCTGGGAGGCCGCCACAGTGGGGTGTGGAAGGCCCCGGCCCCCACCCTGGGGGGCCCGACTCTGGGCTCAGGAGGAGGTGAGCAACAGCCCTCTGCTCAGAGGCTAGGTCAGGAGGGAAGCACATGACATGGGAAGGAAGGGCTGTGGCCTGAATCACCCAGCCTATCAGCAGGGAGAGGGAAGCCTGGTCTGCACCCATCTTGTCCTTGGATCCTTCCAACCAATGCTGCAGTGTGGGTTCTCCCGTTCACAGACTACGAAGCTGGGCCTCTGAGGGCAAGATCAGCCGACTGTCACTGCTGGAAGCAGAATGCAAGCCTGGTGTCTGTGGGACGGGTGGGTCACTGGCTGGTCCCAGGGTCCACGCTCTTGGTTCTATACCAACAGTCCTTCACACGCTGGCACTTGTCCCTATTGGCCGACTGGTGGCTGCTCTCTGAGACTGGGCCTGAAATCCCCAGTTGGTCCTAGGCCCCCTCCGGCCAGAGTGTTCACTTGTGATACCTGCCTGGCCCCACTTCCAGTTCGGCCCTCTAACCTCCTACCCTGTTGATGCTCCACGCAGAGAGGATTTTTAAAGCCATACGTCAGGTCGTGGCACTCCTGTGCAAGTCCAACAGCTCCCCCCATGATTAGAAGGCCAGTGTCACGTATCTCTGCATCCCTGGTACCTAGCAGAGAGCTACACGCACTAAACTGCCAACTTGGAAAGAACACTTAACATTGATTAACCCATCAGAGAGGTAGCAGTGACTAGCAAAACAAGTCCTCGCCACAAAGCAAACAGTCTACCTGGGGGAAAGGACACTGAGAAAAGGCCCCACCATCAGACTGCGTCACCCCTGTGCGCTACCTTCCCAAGGATTCCCATCACACTTGGAGTAAAATCACCAATCCTTACCAGGGCCAGCAAGGACTAGCATGAGCTGGCCCCTTCACCTGTGTCCTTCCCCTCCCTGCCCTTGCATACTTCACTCCAGTCACACTGGCCTCCTTGTTCCCTGAACATCTCCTGCCTCAGGAACGCTGTTCCTGCTGCCTGGAGCACTGCACGGCCTCCCTCCCTCACTTCATTCATACCCCTGCTCGCACGTCCCCTCCCCAGAGAGGCCTCCCCGGAACCCCTTGTCTGAAATGACATTCATTGCTCGCTCTGTCCCACCCTCTTATCTGCTTCCTCTCAGCACGTTTTTCGCTGGATTCTCTCCTGTTTCGTTTGTCTCTTGCACTAGATGTGACCAGCACAGAGACTCGTCTTGTCCCCATATACCCAGTGCCCAGAGCAGCACCTGACACCTAGTTGGTGCTCAGTAAACACATGGGTAGAGTAACTGCATGTCTACTAAGTGGCTGGCGTTGCCATCCCGTTTTATCTTCATCAGTCATGAGAAGCAGAGCTGTGAGCTCATTTTACAGATGACTGAGGTTCTGAGCAGGGAGGACCCTGAGTGGGGTCACCTAGGTAATACGTGGCAGTGCCACGATCAGAGCCCAGGTCTGTCTTGCTCCACAGTGAGTGCTGCTACAGTAGGGCACTTCCCTTTTGGGGGTAGGGAGGGGGGCTGTCCTGTCAGGAAGGGCTGAGAGGACCCTAAGGAACGGGCATGCGGGGGTAGGGTTGAGGTGGAGTCTTGGGTGTGGGAAGAGGAGGGTGGTGGCTGGCAGCAGCAGCCAATGTCCTCTTTGGCCATGTTGCTGCCCAGACATGGCTGCATGCGCCTCCCTGTGCAGCCCCCTCCATCCCGGCCAGTCTCAGCGGGTCTTGGCAGACAAGAAAAGTCTTATGGAAGGTTTATTTTCTCTGGTTCCAAGTGAGGCAGACCTAAGTAGTGTCACAAAAAGAGACTTCTCTGTGAGGGGAAGAGTCTCAGGCTGTGAGAAGTACAGGAGGCGGAGGCCACAGCTTGAGACCTGGTTATCCCAAGGGGCCTAATGTCCCAGAAGAAACCAGGGATATGGGGGTTGTAGCCAAAGTGGGAGAGGCCTGGCTCCCTCGATGGGAACTTTCCTGAAGTAGAAGGCTGGCAGCCACAGGAGATTTTCAGCGCTGGGGCTGGGTTGGAGTAAACAGGCCCTGTTCCCACAAGGGCACAAAGCACTCACTGTCCAGGAACCGTCAACCCAGGGTGGAGGGAACATTCTCGCTTCAGTACCACAGGAACCAGCTCTGACCCGCCCAGCCCCCACCCGCGCATTCCTGGCTGGGACAGCCTCCATCTCCACCCTAGGAGGCCTTTTCCTGGGGAGGGGAAGGATTCCCGGGGGCCACAGATTCTGGGGATTGCTTTTGCAGAGAGAGCAGGAGCAGAATGGGGTGTGCTGCTCCAGGGCGGGGGGCCTGAGAGGTGGTGGTGTGGGTATATTTAGCCCCCGGTTCACACGACACACTTGGAAACAAACACAGTCATTTTCTCAGCGGGCGGCTGCTCGGGATAAATAAACAGGATTGCGGAGCAGCACGGGTCTGGAAAAGCGGAGATAAGCACCCATCGCTCTGGCGTGGCTCCCGCTGATCTGGGCCAGGCCTGGCATGGTGGGCAGGCAGATGTGGGGTAGGGGTGGGTGGGCTGCAGGGAGGTGTCTGATGTCACAGGTTTCCAGAGAACACAGGCTAGAGAGCGTGTCTGCACCCTCAGCTTGGGTTAGGGCAAAGTGGGGGAAGTTCTCTTTGTAGCTGTGACTGCTGCCATGGGGATCCATGTGGGGGTTTTCAGGGCTCCTGGGGGGGAGGTGTAGAGTGTCCACCTCTAGCAAATCAGAGACGCCACAAGTCAGCAACGTTAATCAGTTGCCCACTGTACAGTTTCGCACAGCTGGTTTATGGTTGGGTCTAGACTAGGAACCTGACTGGGCACAGGAGTCCTGCGGGGATGTGAGCAAGAGCTAGGCCCCAGGGCGTCCTTCCTCCGATGCCACAGACCCTGGAACAGTCTAGGCCTAGGCCACACCCACCTAGAGGTGCCAGGGCCTCCCCCATGTATCCGAGTGCTTCATGCCCAGTGACTTTGCCAACACTGTGCCCTCTAACTGGTCACCCTCCCTGTATCTCCCATCCTCACCCCTACTCAGCCCATGGGACTCCAACTTAGAGTCCAAATTCATTTCCCAAGAAGCATTCCCCGCTTATCCCTCCTGTCTCTGTGGTGGGTGTGTCCTTTGTGCTCCCAGGAGTCCTGGACTTTCATGCATACCATAAATATTAACTGAGCACCTACTATGCACCAAGCCCGGCACAGGAAATACAGCAGCAAACAAGACAAGGCCTCTGCCTTCATGGGGCTTATGTTCCAGGCCATATAATCTCTAACCCTAACCCACCTCCAGTGGGGCAGAGATCATTTTTTAGAGAGTGAAGTGAAAAATTCTTGGATATCACAGTAGTTTGTGGCTTTGTAACTAACATATAGTTTAGCTGTCACGTGGCATAGTGGATAAGGCACTTGACTGCTAACTGGGAGGTCAGCAGTTCAAACCCACCAGCCACTCTGCAGAAGGAAGACCGGAGGATCTACTTCTGTAGAGATTTATAGGTTCGCAAACCCAGCTGGGGTCACTATGAGTTGGAAATGATTTGATGGTAATGCGTTTTTTTTTTTTTTTTTTTAAATTCAAATTTTATGGAGGCAGGAGGACAATCAGGACAAAAATGTCTAAAAAGGCTCCTTAGCACAGCAATTAGGAAAAAGGCAGAGAAGGCCTGTTCTAGTCAGAAGCAGAGAGAGGATAACAAGAAAGAAACCAGGTAATTTCAGAAGTGATGGGGTTTTGAAGAAAAGTGACAGAGAAAGCTGGGGGGTTGGTGTAGGTGAAGTGGCCTCTGAGGAAGTAAAGTTTGAGACGGAAGACCTGAAAGACAAGGAGGCAGTGGCCATGAAAGGATCCAAAGTCTTAAAAGCATGTTCCAGCAGAAGGAACAAGTGAAGAGGCCTCGAGGTGGGAAGAAGTTGAAGCCACTGTGCTAAGTCCTCTGCCTGTGTGCCAGTCTCCCCCGTCAGTCTGGGGTTCAGCGCAGGCACGGACCAAGGCTGACCCGTGTCTGCAGCCTGGGGCCCATCCAGGCAGGCACAGGTGGACTTCAGCTCGATCTCTGCCCAGAGGCAGCTATCCAAATGATGCAGGCTGTCCTGTACCAGTGGCCTGTGTGACCCTGGAGAAGTAAAGGGAAGTATTAAAGTTGGCACGACCATGCCCTGTGGGGTGGGGCACAAGTGCTGGCTGACCGCCCCCCCCGCCAGGGGCTGAGGTGCAGTCCCTGCTTGGATCTGACCAGCACTGCAGTGCCCATCCTTCTCTCTCCTCGCTCACACGGCCACCCACGACTCTTCCTGGGGTGTGCTCTGAGCAGGCTGCTTCACCTCTGTGGCCCACAGTGCCCTCATT